GAAGTGTTGAAGGCCAGGCTGGATGAGGCTTTGAGCAACCTGGTCTAGTGGAAGGTGTCCCTGCTGATGTCAGGGGGATTGGAACTAGGTGATCTTTAAGGTCCTTCCAATCCTAACCATTCTGTGATTCTATGATAATTTACTTACATACTTTGGTTTCCAGTACTGCCAGAGCATATGTGTGTGTGTGCCCAACACATACCAATGCCCACATGCAAGTTGGAGCAGTTAATCTGGGACTGTTACACCACCAAGAAAGTGGTTTAATTCTGTGCGCTGAAGGACTGTGTGAGAATTACTGATTGCTGGCATCGGTCTTCAGGTCTCATTTTTGTTGTAGATGAGGAAGTCAGCCTTGATGGTGATTGGCAGGAAAGGGAGGGAGAGGAAGAGGGAGGGCAGCAAGGCCAGGGGACACCGAGGAGGTTGTAGCAAGGTGGAGGTTGGTCTCTTCTCCCAGGTAACCAGTGATAGGGCAAGAGGTAATGGCTTCAAGTTGCACTAGGGGAGGTTCAGGTTGGATATTAGGAAAAATTTCTTCTCTGAAAAAGTAATCAGACATAGGAACAGGCTGCCCAGGGAAGTGGTGGAATCACCATCCCGGGAGGTGTTCAAGAAACGTGTAGATGTAGCAGTCAGGGATATGGTTTAGTGGGCATAATGGTGATGAGTTGACAGTTGGACTGGATGCTCTTAGAGGTCTTTACAACCTTAATGATTCTGTGATTCTGCCACAATGCCTGGTGCAGTGGGAGGGCCATTCATCAGTGGGTACTGCCATACCCAGTGGTACAAGAAACATATGCAAGCAACAGAAGCAAGGGTGAAAGAAGAAAAATAAAAAGTAAATATCTCTAGAAAGAGCTAATGACTAGTAAATGTGCTGAATAGAGGCAGCAGAAATCATTTTGGTGGATTAATTTGTATCTCTATTAATTTAGTCCATCTCCTCTTTGCCAATATTTACTTAATGATTCCTGTTATTCTTTCCATCTCAGTCTTCTCTTTGGTGCCCTACCCATAATCCTCTTTTAAAACAACACTTAACACTTTTCATAGTGTTTCTGGAAGGAAAATGTTTCCCAAACATTAATGAATTACTGTTCACAAACAACCCATGAACAACTCTTTTGTAGATGTATTCATACTGTGCTGTGGATAGACTTGGAATCATTTTACTTTGTGCTGTAGGACCTCTGCTGCAAGTAGGTAATTGGAGGGGTCTTCTCAGCACAAGTGGGGCTCAGAAGAAGAAGTGGGGCTAATCCCAGGTTCCTCTTGAAGATGGAATTAGAAGATGGGAGATGCTCTGAAGAGTCATGATACTCAGAATGGCAGAGCACACTGCAGGTAGCTTTTTGGAAATGGTATTATAGATTATCATGATACATAGTTGTCCTGATGCAGATCCAAAATCTGTAACAATATATTTCAGGTTTTGAATATAGTAGCATTGGTTTGGTGAATCCAAGAGGAGAGTAAGTGTTAGAGTAGGGATTAGGAATAGCAGTTCCTGTGTGCAGGCCACCTTTCCCGATTTCAAACTGCATGCTGTATCTACAAGCATTAAAAGTCTTACTGATTTTCTAATAAATCCAGAGGAGTGCTGGGCAAACGAGATACAGTGATTATTTCTTTTCTTAATTTGAAAGCACCATCTTCCCAATGAAGTCTGAAAAGAAACTGAACAAAAGATGACTTTGTTTCTGTATAATTCATGAAATGTCTACCACTGTAACCTTTTAAACAAATATTTTTATTTAAGATGTGTAAATTTCAAATCATTTTTTTTAACGGGGTACGTAAATGACATAATAAATGTTGGTTTCCAAGATAACAGTGCATAACGTATTTCACAAGCAGTGACTGAAATGTTGAGTATATGAATAGCATATTTTATGTAAGTACAATACGTTAACAGAGTCTATCAGAGAATTAAACTAGCTGTCATGTAATATAGCTCTATAAAGCTGTAGGGGTAGGGAAGCTATTGTCTTTCAGAATTAAAGTTCTTTTTTAAATATTAGCAGAAAGACAACTATTTGCTGATTCTATATCAAAATTGTGTTGAAGTGCCTTCCATAAAAATTGCAGTTCGAGTCAAGAGAGGTTTGAAACTAAGTTAGTACACCAACTAAATACGATTACATGGGGTTTTTTTAAAGGAAAAAAAAAATCTATATAATATTATTTTAAATAGTTAACATACAGTATTTCAACAGGGGAAACACTGATTAGATCACCACGATCTATTTTATGCCCTCAGCATTGCTGAGGGGCTTATAATTGTGTTAAATTTTCATATTACTCATACCCACACATGAACGAACAGATGCGTCGTTACTATTGGGATTTTGCCATTTGCCCTTTTTCCCCATCTCTCATCATGAAATTTCCTACCGAGATCTTTACCATTCTCACAAAAATTCCGTTATTGATACACGTTATTCTCAGCTTATTTGTCACCCAGAGGGGGAGGTGGCCATGGCCGTGTGGCTACTATTTCTTGAAGGTGACAAGTTAGGAGACTTCTGGGGTTTTTTTGGGTTGTTGTTGTTGTTGTTTTGGTTTTTTTGTTGTTGTTGTGTTGTTTGGTTGGGGTTTTTTTTAGGAGCTCACCACGGTGAATATTTTTTCTAGCTGCAGGGGGGAAAAAAGCTTTGTGGTGGACTTTGCTGACAATAGACTTTAAAAGTTAAGACGGGTTGCTTTGGGTGCCTGGAA